ACGGCATCACTACCTGGTTCGAAGGGGAGCTGCAGCAAGATCTCACGCTCACGGTCTCATCTACCGTCACTCAGTACCTCGGGCTCAACATCCGGGAAGAGGAAGATGCGATCTACCTCAGCGCCGCGAAATACGCCGACACCATCGCCAAGCGCTTCGCACTTACACCAACCGCCATCTCTACACCGTACCGCTACACGACAGGCAACAACAAGGAAGGCCCCGTTCTACTCAAGCCCGCCGGCATACGCGACTACCAGAGAAAGCTGGGCTGCCTTCTCTTCGCAGCTGTTACCTGCCGTCCAGACCTATCGTACTCTGCAAGCCAACTCGCAACCTACCTCAAGAGGCCCGAAGCGGAACACCTAGCGGAACTCGACCGCGCTCTTCACTACCTCGTTAGCACCCCAACGATCGGCCTAACTTATCACAAGAACGCAACCACACCGACCAAGTTAATCGGCTACGTCGACGCCGATCACGCTGGCGACTCCGACAACAGGCGTTCGCGCACCGGCTACGTCTACCGCCTCGAACCTATCGGACCTATCTCTTGGCAGTCGAGCAAGCAGGAATTAATCGCTCTCTCGTCAGCTGAAGCAGAATATATTGCACTCTGCTCAGCCACCAAGGAAGGACTTTACCTTCGCGAGCTGCTGGAAGAAGCGAAGTTAGCTGAGTTACCCAACTTCACCCTGTTCTGCGACAACCAGTCGGCAATTCGCATCGCCAACAAGAACGGCTTCGCGAACAGGACGAAACACATTGCCCTACGCTACTTCTTCGTGAAGGACGAAATCGAGAAGGGGAGACTCGAGCTGTCATACTGCCCCACATCCGAGATGGCAGCTGACTACTTGACCAAGAAACTCGGAAAGCAGAAATTCGAGTACTGCATGCTGCTGACTGGACAGAGCCACGTCATCAGCAACGACACTCCAGAAGCGAAGGGGAGTGTTGGAAACAACAAATCGTAAGCGCCTCTGTCGTGTCGAAACACCGCATCAGAAGCGAATTAAATCATATCGAGGCACTTGCGAGTCAACCCTCGGAGGTTGAGAAGTTGCTGGAGGTTACGCGAAAGTCAAAGGTCAGCGACCTTTGACCTGACAAGTACAGCGCGACAGCAAGGACACACAACTGACTCGCTACAGAGCAGTTGCCCGAGTCGTCACTGTATCGAACCGCAACAGCAACAGTAAAGTAGTTATAACTGCATCTCTTCGTATTCCTTGTACTCATATATAATCATGTATCTCCTTGTTTCAATTAATCTACTTTGCCCTCACATACTAGCGCAAGGTGGTTCACAACTCTTTAATTAACGCTTCCGCTATTACAACAACTCTACCCAGAGTTCACCCCTGCAAAGATCCTAAGGGCTTTTCTCAGCCCAACATATTTGACCTATCAAGGAGTTGGAAAGTCACTATATTTGTGCATGTACACTTCCCCCTCCTCGCAGTCCTTTTCACCATCCCCTTCATCCTCCTCTTCTTCCTCACTTTCCTCCTCTATCTCCACCAGAGTCCCCTCCATGTCAAACACCATCCGTCCCGACTTTGTACACTCAACAAACTCCCTCCCAGACGGTATACTCACTATAGAGCGATCCATAGCCCACATAGATGCAGACTCCCCTTCCTCCCGTATCGCCTGCCGCAATTGTGCCTCAAAATCCGCAGCAACACTATTCAGTGCTTTGTCACCCCACTTCCCAGATAACGCACTTAACCATGACTTGTGCTTCGGCTTGGGAGGCCTGGCCGTTGGATCGGGGAAAGAGGACGAATCTACACTGCTGCTACTACTCGTCCTACTGCTTCCAGATGCCGACGAAGAATCTCCCGAGCCTGGCTCCGAACCTAACTCCCTTCCTCCACCTCCCGAACCTGTTTTCCCAATCCGAACAATCCTCCACCTCTTCCCTTTCCGCTTCTGCTTCCCTCCCTCCCCTTCCTCCGCCCTCTCTCCCCCTCCAGCCTCAGGGTCACAATGCTCTTGACTGGACAGCGATTGAGACGACAAGCTGGAGCTTCCATCACTTCCCACCCCACCATCCGCAGCTGCATTCCCACCAGCAGAGGGAGCAGCTGTATCACCACCCCCAGACGAACCCGCACCAGAAGCACCAGCTGAGCCGGGCGCAGCATTGGCACTACCCGAACCAGCAGAGGCGTGTGTGTGAGGCGCGGGCTTCCATAACCAGGCGCGCCTGGGCCCTGGCCTGTCCTGTCTGTCGCCCACGAAGCAGTAGAGCATGAGGAGGAGGGCGGAGAGCAGCAGAGAGGCACCCACTAAGAGACCGATGAAGAGAGGCGTGGAGAAGGCGGCAGAGGGGGTGGCGGAGGTGAGTGGGTCGACAGGGAGAGGGGGTGAGGGAGGGAAGGAGGAGGGTTGTGATGGAGGATATAGAAACGGTGTGCTGCTGTTGCTGCTGCTACTGCTGCTGTTTCTGCTGCTGTTAGAAACGGGCGGTCCTGGTGGCGGATAGAGAGCAGGGGGCGGCTGGGTTTGGGTTGAGGAAGAACCACGAGAGGGCTGCTTGGGAGCGGAGGGAGACGGGCGAAAGGGGGAGGGCGGTGATGGTGACAGCGATGGTGATGGTGATGGTGATGGTGATGGTGATGGTGATGGTGGAGGAGGAAGGGGAGCGGAGGGGTCGCTGAGCTGCAGGAGTCCCCCTAGCCCGCCACCTCGCGTGGGAATAGGCGTTGCTAGCTCCGTGGGATCACTGGAAAGGCCTGGATCCGACCTGGATGGATCACCGCCAGAGTGGTTTGGATCTGATTTGGAAGGATCAGAGGGTAGAGCAATTGTCGAGTCTGATGTCCCCCCCGGCTGGGTTGCACTGGAGCCGGGCGGAACGGACGGCTTGGTGAGCGCGGGAGGGGGGTCTGGGGAGGGTTGGGTTGCGGAGGAGGCGGGATCCGGAGAGGGTTGTAGAGATGGGAAGAAGGGAGAGAGATCGGACGGTTGGGTGGTTTGGAAGGGCATGGAGGGGGGAGGCGGAAGGCTCACTTGCTTGCCCACTGGCCGGCTCCACCTTCCCCTTTCCGCGTCCGCCTTTGTTTCCGCTTCCGCCTTTCTTTCAGCTCCGCCTTTCCTTTTCTCCTTTCCGCTTCCGCCTTTCCCTTCCCCTTTCCGCTTTAGCCCTTCGTTTTCTCGTTCCGCTTCGGCCTTTCACTTTCCCTCTCCACTTCCGGCTTTCACTTTCCCTGCGCGCTTCCGCTTATCACTTTCTCGTTCCGCTTCCGCCTTTCACTTACTCTGTCCGCTTTCGCCCTTTCCTTTCGCTTTCCGCCTTTCACTTCCCTGTCCGCTTCCGCCCCTCCTTTTCCTTTCCAGCTCGCTCCTTGCTTTTTCTGCGTCTCCCTCTATTCTTTCCACCTCTTTCTTCCCCTTCCTGTTCTCTCCTTTCGTCACTCAGGCCGGGTGGGGTAACACGGTAACAGTGCGACTCGTCAGGGATCAAGCCGCTTTCTTCGCCGCTGATCTGGTATCCTCCAACGTCGGAAAAGAGATGATGCGTTGGTGGTTGCGACGATGGTTGCGACGTGGTCAAAAGCTAGTGCCCGTCGGCAACTAGACCGTGGTCGCGCTCCGAGGAAAGTGCGCTGCGTGCTGCGGTTATCTAAGGTATGAGCTGTCGCGCCGTGACTTGCTGATCTTTCGACTGTGTTCGTAAGTCCCACCCTAACCACGCTAAGGGGAAATGTAGCTACGAAAGCTGTTCAAATGTGGCAGGCGACACATGCGTTCCACATTGCTCGGAACTACACAACAATCGCATGTAGACTGCTGCGTACTACACATGTGACTTTGAACTCGTCGATCGCAACTACAGCTATCTTGAGAGTATAACGGAGACTCCTAGTAGGAACACTTATTTTTAAAATGTCTGAAAAGATGTGCCTGCCGCCAGTTCTAAGATGCACTCTGACCGCGACACCCGCGAATTGCAAAGCGGGAAGCAAACTTGGCCCTTCTGTCAACTCCTGATGGGTGTCAAGAATGATTGGATTTCGGTCTCTTGTCGAACCTCTCCGCTTGGCTTATGTTCGAGCCTGATTTGGCGCGTTGACTTTGTTGTGGAAATCAGGTCTTGCCCTTTCACCCATACTAAACAATACCTAAGGAACTCAAACCGAGCAGAACCTATTTGAAGCAAACCTACCCAATCTCGCAAATACGGTTCGGCGAAATAGAAGAGGACGGAGTTCGAGAAAAAACAGGTGCGTCTGCGAAGGGAGGAGGGGGAAAGGGGTGCGGAGGTTGAACGAGCTCGGGTAGTTTGAAATGTCGGGCAAAATTGGAGAATCACCAAGAATAGCAAGAAGTTGTGCAATCCATTTTTAGAGCAAGAAGGGTAGGTGCGGAACCTGACCGGAGTATGATTCATAGTTTTTTCGTGGTGTTTGTGGAACCAACCCATGTCTGACCCAACAAGAAAGGGTGTGTCTCGACACAGTGTTTTCTTGGCGCAAGCCAAGGCGGAGCGGGTATTCTGGTGAAAATTCGCGCAGGTGACTCCGCTGGACGGCTCTGAAGTACCTGCGACATGAGAGGGTTACAAATACACAGTACTGAATACTTCGCTTTTATGTCCAGCCTTTAAACAAGACAAGCAGCAACATGACAAGCCTAAACATGCAAACACTAGTTCAGGGACTCCAGGTTGCTCAGGATCCTAGTTAGAATCTCGATCTTGGCTAGTGGTTTTAGCTGGCTCAAGGGCCTTCCGTGCCTTCAGGAAATGAATGGCCATTACCAAGAATCAAGTTGGTTGGGAGATGGTGCGGTTTAGAAGAATTGAGATGCTCAGCTGAAAGATAGCAAAATATGAGATTCTGCACTATATTGGAGGATACATCCATGGAGATCTTACTTTCAGCGCAACATGCACTGTAACAACGCTTTATTCTTCAGCAGTTATTGGATTCAATTTTAGGCTCCAGGGAGAAGCTGGAATGGTCTTCGAGCGTCACACATCCTCCCTCTTACTGGTACTTCCTCTGCGTCACGCACCTGTTCTTCAGCTTATCCCAATTCTGCTGCACAAGAAACTTCATGTTGTTCATTCCGACGAGATTGTACTCGTATTTCCTGCCACGGTTGTCCTGACTCATGGCCGTCGTACCAACATCGTACGAGCACTTGTCCGCATTCTCTTCACCGTCGGCGTCCATCCACCCGTTTGCAGCATCCGGGTCGGTTGCTGCTTCCGCAATTTCGTGAGCGATTGTGGAAACCGTCGCATCGATCGCAGGGTTCCCGTTGGGCGACGTGCTCTGCCCCCCGCAACCGTCGGCGCACTGCCCGTGATGCCCCACGAACGAGTAAATAACCGGGTTTGACCCCATATAGTCCATGGTGTGCCATCCGCAATACTCGCTGCAGTATCCAGGGACGGTAACATCCTTGCTGGTAAGAAGCAGGTAGACTCCATGCGGATCGTACGCAAATGCCTTCCCGGCGCCAATCTTGCTCGAAACAACTGCGACGGCAGAAGGGATTTCAAGTGTTGTTTTAGTATTACATCCGTATCCAGACACAATTACGGTTGGTGCAAAGCAGCTCAGGAAATCACGGAATTCTGGAAGGGTGGGAAAATCATTTCGCTTTCGAAGAGATCCCAAATCATCAGTCTCATACGGCCGTGTAATACCTTGCCAAACTGTGTTCTCGCCAAAACGCTTTCCCGCCGAGTAGTTATCGTAGACCGTCTTGACGACGCGCACCTGAAAGAAAACCGCGCGAATTTGCATGGATTCATCAAGCTGAGAGAGAAAAAGAGGCAGATTAAGGGAGGGAGCAGCTACGTTTAGCTGGATTGCCGTAATTCACTCTCGCGTTTGGAGCTCTCAGCATATACAAACCTCGGTTACAAGTCCAGACTATCCACGTGGCACGTTACAAACCTTCGCGCTGACGTTCTTCTTCGCGCCATTCCCTTCCTGCGTGTACGCCGCGCTGATCGCCCACCAGCGCTTCACCTTGGGATCCGCGGGACTCCCCTGCCGCTTCGAGTCCGCGCTCAGAGACCGGATGAAATTCTCGATCACATTTTGCCCCGATCCCGCCGGCCAGCTGCCGTAGTAGATTATGTACACGTTGACGGACGGGTTTCCGGTCATCACGGGACCGCCTAGGTACTGGATCGGAGCGCTTGCAGCGCCGCCGCGCGCTGCACCCTTTTCGCGCTCTTCCTTCTCATGATGCGCCTTCGTTTCGAACATGTGGAGAGGCGGGCGCCCAGGGCGGACTTCGATGTCGTTCAGCTGGCGTTGACGGCGGTACTCTTCGTGCGCCTGGCGCGTGCGCGCGACGCGCTTAGGCGCACCGGCGGATGCGAGGGGAAGCAGCGAGAGGCAGACGAGGGGGAGGAGAACGAGCAGGAAGATGGTGGTACTAGAGAGCGTCGCCATTGAGACTTGCTGGTGGGAGAGGTTCTTAAGGAGACAGTAAACAGCGGGGGAAATGCTAGCGGTGATAAGCTCTGGAATTCACGAGGCTAGATTTGCTACTGCGTGGAATGGTTAGCCTTCAGATCGCCACCACTCAACCAGCTGATATCTGCTAATATCTCAATCTGGAACTGCGCTTGTGTGACTAGGATGTATGTCAGTAGTGTTCGTGAGCACAAGCTGCGGAGGCCTAAGATCGAGCGGGGAAGGGATGCTGGTAAGAACTGCCGACGTAAGGCATTTATATCTCTGAGCAGTTGCGACGCATTCGTCCGAGGTGCTGATAAGAGGCGCTGCGATTGCTAGTAGCGACGTCGACATTCGTCCAAGGTGCTGTCTACGTCGGTGCTTCCCGATTTGTGAAATGGAAGCACAATCCCCTGCTGCTGCTCAGCTCCAGTGCAATCACCAATAATTTCGCGGCTCGATTTTCTTGGGTGTGAGGGACGCTGTTGCGGCTGACGTCGGTCCAGCCCACGGCTTCACGGCTCCGTTTCTTCCATGTGTTTGCAAGAAACGATTTTCCACTACAGAGCGATTCAGAGTAAATACAGAATACAAAAACAAAATGCTATTGTTACGAGTGCAATTCAACGAGGAAGAAATGTAACACAAGCATAAGCGAAGGACTGAGGGAACACCAAATAACAAAAAAAGTTGCAAACGGTAACTGGATGATGTGAGCTTCTGCAGCGAGGTTCGGGCTGTTCCCGGGGCATAGACCAACTTGACCTTTATACAACAATACAAGGTGGGGCAAAATTATAAGGCGAGGTGGAGAACAGCATTGACCAGTAACAGGCGAAAAACTGTCGAGATTTTGTGAGCTGTGTTGTACGCGGTGAGGGCAGATGCGCACTGAATTTAAAGACTTTCTTACATTAATACCCTCCTCAAGAAGCCCTTCGCTATGTCAATGCATGTACATCGCAAAATCCCCAACTCTTAACATAGAAAACAAGGTGTCTTTTGATATTGCTCAGAGGCACCAAGCTATCTTCATTTGGTATGCAGTCCTTCCAACAAACGCGGAACTCGATCCTTCGATCTCCCCGGTCGTGTCAAATTCTATGGCTGTAAATGTTCTCAGCTTCGATCTGCTCCGCCTACCCAGCTTCCCTAGGCCGCCCCTAGAGCGCCCCGTTGCTCCTCTAGCGGCCCTTGGAGTGCCTTGTTGCGCCGGCCCCTCCCCCCCACCATCCCCCCTCCACCCTTCTCCTTGGGCGCGCCCCTGAGCCCGCGCGCTGCCCCTACTGCCTGCACTGCTCGCACGATGCTCGCTCGTTGCCCGCATGCCGCCAGCAGTGCGCCAGCAGCGCCGGCGCCAGCGCACCAGCGGCACGCCTTCAGCGCACCAGCAGCACGCCTTCAGCGCCAGCAGTGCCAGCCACCCCATTGTGGGCCTGCGCCTGCGCACCGCCTCTGGACGCGCCTGTGCCGCCCGCAATTCCAGCACCGTCAGCGCCGCCCGCACCACCCCAGCCTGCACTGCCCGCGCTACCGCCGCCGCCCCGTGCACCGCTGCTGCTCGTGCTGCTACCGTTGTAGCATGCCAACTGGTGCGGCGTGTGCCGCTGCTCGCGCTGCTGCCGCCAGCGCACTAGCACGCTAGCACCCAGCCAGCTCAAAGCCGCGCCAGCTCCAGCGCCAGCGCAAGCCCACGCCAGCACGCAAGGTCTGAGCCACCTGCGCTGCCCGCACGCCCGCGGTGTTCACACCACCCGCACCGCCCACGCAACCCGCATTGCCAGCGCCGCCAGGGCCACCTGTCCCGCCCGCGCCCTCCAGATTCCGTTTTGTTGCCGCTTGTACCAGACGTGCCACTACAACTGCACCTATTGTCGTATCTGATCCTTGTAGCCTTGCTCTTCCTCCTCCTGTGGCCATTTCCTCTCGCTTCCTGACTGAGTGAGTTCTGTCTTTCGATGCGGAGTTTCGTCCAGTAAACATTCTGTCGTGGCTGCTCGATGTCCCGCTCTACCTAATGAGTCAGCTCCAGCAGGACGTCTTCCTATACGAGCACGCTTTTGGTGAGATCCCAACCCCGCCGTGTCCTTCTCCTCCTACTGCTGACGCCACTATGGACCAGCAGAAGGAGTACTGCATGGTTCGCCTGGAGAACAGGCGCTAGTAGGCATGCCTCGGTATCGGTCACCACCGTCCCAGGACGAGCGGGAGCACTTTAGTCAGATGAAGACGGTAAAGGAGTGTTTGGATGCTGTTATTGCTCGCCACTCCACTACTTCATCTGCGCCACCACCACCATATCTCCCGTTGCTTCACTCCGTCGTTGACCTAATAACGCACTGTGCTCGCTTGACGCTCGCTTCCGCGCTACTTGCATTACTGCGCTTCTTGCTGAGGACTACCCACAATGTATAGCACACTGTACTTCCTCGCGACCCACCTCCCTCCGCTTTGTGGTTGCCCGCGGCGCCTTCCTCACTGTGCACCCCATGAGATTCACTATCGACCTCTTTGAGACACGTCTCACTGAGATCGAAACCCCCCTCTGTGCTATAGCCGCCTCTTTTGGTAATGTGCTTCCCCCCATATTTGAGCAGTGTGCCCGCCCCTACTTGCTACCCCTGCTGTTGCAACTTCTATTGTTGAGCCCGCTACCTTGATGGAAGTTGCTGCATTTGCTGCCTTTAGTCAGTAGCAAGGTCGCGAGGGTGGTCGCAGGGGTGGAGGAGGTGGAGGTGGTGGAGATACTAGTACGTCTGGAGGAGCTGGCATTGGAGGAGGTACTGAATCGGGTAGTGCGGTTGGAGGAGGTGCTGGTCCTGGGGGTGTGGCGGTGGCGCAGCTGCAGCAACAGGTATGGCAGGTTCAGCAACAGCAGGTGCAGGTTCAACAGCAACACCCAAATCAGTTGCAGCAGTAAGCCTTGAAGTAGCACTGGGGTCTTGTCGGAGTCTGGAGCACTGACTGCAGTGATGGGCCTCCCAGGTAGGCGTAGCGCGGCCCTCCAGCTGGGACCTGCTAGTATCTAATTCAAACTGTTTCACGCGGCTGCCTCGCCAGCAGGAGTCCTGATCACTCCACTGAGCATTACTTTAGCCACCTCAACAACCTTAACCGCATCCGCTTCGGGCATGCGGTGCCAGTCCCGGACAGGGCTGCAATACCATTGTGACCTGCCTGTGTTTACTATGGACATGTCTGACGTAGGCGCTGCCTTGTAGCCTGTCTGCCATGTATGCTGATGACTATATTGTTGCTGAATCTTATTATTCACGTGTGACTCTAGCCGTCTCTAGCGTAGGATCCTCTGCTGTTGCTTGCACATGTGCGACCACATCTAATACGTCACTCTCTTTCACGCTTGTCTGTGACACGTCTTGGTGCTTCTTCCGCGACCATGCTGGCCTCTCGCCACTTCCAGCCCCAGTCGCAGTTGCTTTAGCCGACCCCTCCTCTGGACCAGTCGTCGCTCGCAGCGCTACTACTCTCCCATATCCGACTGTCCCCTTAGACTCCCTCACAGGTTGCACATCCCCTCATTTTCTAGGATATTTCTGGGGGTCAGTCCTCTTCAGGACCTCGATGTCACTAGCATGTTTCCCAGATGCGAGCAGTTTGTGACCCGTACGGACACTATCACTGAGGCACCTCTTGCCACGTTTCCCCGAGAGCCCGCGTCAGGTCTCTTCATGCTGCACACTACGTCTCCCCAAGTTGCTATGTTTGACCAGGTAGCTGCATCGTGCTCGTGTCGGTCGCTCACCCACCCGTCAATCATCGCACCACCATCTGGATCTCCTCGCCCTCCCACGTCTCCGTCACATGGCTCAGCACAATCTTGTCTCAGACATCCCGTCGTCTTTCCTACCTCTCCTTCCCTCGTCTGCGCCGCCTTGCACTTCTTGCGTCGAAGGCCGGCAGCGTGCCACCCCTCACTTCTCCTCGTTTCCTCGTACCATTGTGCCTCTTCAAACCATGCACATGGACGTCTGGGGAAACCCCCATCCCTAGGCTGCGCTAGGCACACTACTTCCTGGTAGTTATGGACGACTTTTCCCGCTACACCACGGCGTTTCCTTCTAACGTAAGGCTGACGCTCTCCTCCCGTGGCTCGTTGCCGTCCTCACCCAGCGTCCGCGGTCTATGATTCGTCTGCTCTCTGATCATGGTGTCAAGTTCACCTCCGGTCGACTTGAGCAGTTATGTCATACGGAAGGCATCCGCCAGATATGCTCACTACCAGACTCGCCGCAGCAGAATGGGGTCGCTGAGCATCGCATTGGCTTGATCATGGAGATCACTCGTACCTCCATGTGCCATGCCAGTGCCCCCCGTTTTTGTGGCCTTTTGCAATGGGCTACGCCACGCACCAACTTAACATGTGGCCCCGTGTCTCACGCCCGCAGGTTTTGCTGACCCTCCTCTAAACTGGGTCCCCTGGTTTTGCGCATGTGTTTCACATCTAGTTCTTCCGTGCTCACGTCCACGATCCTCGGGAGCTCTCAGCCTACACTCTCCCCTTTGTATTCCTCGGTTTCCCCCTCGATGCCCCTGACTGGCTTTTCTACCACCCCTTCGTCTCACCATTTCTTATTTCTCGTTACGCCACCTTTGGCTAGATTGTCGTGGAGGAGTTGTTTTCTTGACCTGCTAGAAATGAGGACATGGTCCAAATAGACGCTGATACATTTATCTACAAGTTCCTGAAAAACGTGGTTCATGGTCAGTTGAAAAGTGGAATTTGCGTTCGTGAGGCCAAAAGGCATCACAATAAACTTGAAACTGCAGTAGTGGGTGCGAAATGCAGGCTTGTGGCAGTCGTTGGCAAAGACGCGTATCTGATGGTAACAGCCCCATAGGTCAATCACCGAGACGAAGCAAGCGCCGCAGAGTTGGTCGATGCACAAGCGAATGCCACCATCTATTTCCAGTATGAACACGATCGGTGCGGCAAATGGCAATGGGCTCAGTCAGCTGCCTCTGTGTCCGGACTG